AGAGTGCTAGGTGAACCGAAATCCCGAAAATAATATTTCCACGGAGGACGAGAAATTTAAACCGCAATTGGAGGCGCGCGCTTGATTTCTTGCCTGTAACCCTTAAATATACATATATAAACAAAAGGTCTGTTTGCACACTCACGGTTTCAACTAGTTGGTCTCCCAAGTGATGCAAATGCATTCAGATCAATTGCACCGCTTGGCAGGAATACGGTTTAAACTCCAAACAAACGGAAATACCGACCTCGGCTTAATTACTGGCATGGGAATTTCCGCGATGAGACGTAAACTAACAATGCTAAACTGGTGCGACATTCTCACCGGTAGTCCGGATACAGATTGGAACATTCTCAGGGCTATTATGGACGACGTTATGTATCGTAACTGTCCACTGAAAAAAAAATTACAAAAGGTGAGTCAGCCCACTTAGTTAATGCGAGATTTAAAGAGCCAGATAAACCGAAATAACAAACTCTAGAGGACTTATACAACAACACATCAGTTTTCACACCACGAAAAATTTTGCAGAAAGCGGAACGAGATAAGGTCCAGTGTCCGCAAATCAAGGAAAGAGTGTGAGGCAAAAATTATAGAATGGGGCTTAAATAAGCCAAAAAGTACTCTTTAGTTACATCAACCGTAGGTTAAAAATAAAGAAACGGCCGCAGTGTTGAAAGGTGAAAACAACGAAGAAAGTACTGGAAATTCCAAAAAGGCAGACCACTTTATCCCGTTTTTCGCCTCTGTTTTCACCGCGGAACCAGATCTTAATCAGGCCGACGTCAATGTAAGAATAAACGACACAATCATGGATGAAATTAACTTCAAAAATATGATGTGGGGAAATAACTGCTCGCGTCTATCGAAGCTAGGTCTCCGGATCTAGACCAAATACCGACAAAAGTACTGCAAAAACTCGTTTCATATCTCTCCAAATCCCTTTCGCATATTTTGCAAATGTCTTGTGATCGAGGCCTCCTCCCAGCTGCCTGGGATGTTTCGAACATATACCCTATTAACAAGGGTGGATCCAGAACCAGCATAAACAACTATCGACCAGTGAGCCTAACTTGCATTTGTTTCAAAGTTGTGGAAAGGATTATCGAACAAGGTCACCGTAAATTTTCTCGAAGAGAGAGAATTTTTTGACAGTGCCAAACACGGATTTCGAGGGAACCACTCCTGCCTGACCAATATGCTTTATTAAATTGAGCAGTGGTCCAGGTTATTACACGAGAACATAAATGTCGATGTCGTCCACATTGACTTCAAAAAAACCTTCACACCAACAGCTACTCTACAGGGTTGGCAAATACGGCGTAAAACGAAGAAGGTTAGCGCGATGGGCGACTTTCGCCACTACTCATTTGATGGCAGATGCCTGTTAAACGCAACCGAATAAAAGAACCGGGAAATCAAAATTGCATCATCGCAGAAGTCCTCTTCGTAAGGTGTTAAGGCTGCCAAACGACTATTAATGTGAAAACTAGCAACATTATCATCTACCTTCATAAAATATACGTTACATTTGTCCTGTAATACCCTACACTTCCATTTAGACTTCTGCGCACCGATGAGTAAAATGAAAGGCGTTTTATCCCTCGAAAATCGTCCTTTGACGTAGCAACAATGTTGGGAGCTTACAAGTTTCGATCGTTTATGGTTTCACTGATAAGTTGTACTTTCAAATCTCTCAGTACTTATTTAGTATAATTCAGTATATATGAGGGAAATAGCAGAACCTTTGAAAACCCTATTTACAGATAGATGCTGTCAAACCATGCATGTGCTTCAAACCCATATATGTACATTATGTAAATAGTTATTGTCTACCAAATGTATGACTAGCAAGATCGAGTCTTCTTTTAAATGCGTCAACGCTTTTAGCAAGAACAACTGAAGAAGGAATTTAAATCCAGTCTTCAATGACTCGGTGAGAGAATTTGTTCCGCATTTCTAGTTTGGCATGGTGTTTCTTCAGTTTGTATGGATGACCTCGGAGATGTCTCGTTTGTGCGAATTCAAAGAAATCAGCCATCTGAAGAGCACAGTCTATTCCTCTGAGGAGTTTGAACACCATTTTCATATCTCCTCTGCATTGCCTTAAATAGAGGGGGAAAAGCTTGAGCCTATCCAGTCGACCTTAATATGGCAGACCTCCTAAGCTGTTGACTAATTTGTTCGCCCTTCTTTGGACAGTGTGGAATCTTTCTTCATCCAGGGCACCACGCCTAGACGCAATATTCTTACATCAGCCGAACAAATGTTCCGAAGTATCACCCAAAAAGCTCTTCATCCAAATAGAGGAAGGACATTTT